TAGCAACTCACAGATTAACTCTATCTGTAAATATTTACAATGTACATAAATGTAAAATAACTTATAAATAAAGAGCGTCACACGCGCCCGAAGATGGTTACATCATCGGTAAAAAAAAAAAAATATATATATATTAGTTAAATATAAATATATAAATATAACTAATAAATACGTACTTTGAATAAAAGATTTTGGCTTTTTAATTGATTTGTGTTTTTTTGATTGTGTCAATTCTTTAGCATGAATTTGAGCTAAAGCATTTGATATGTTTCTATGATTTTCTTTCCACCGTTTTTCACATTGTTTAACCAGTCTTTGTTTAGGATTTTCATTTTTAGAAAAATATATAACAATATGGCTAGCCTAATTTGGATGAATTGTCATTGCGATATCAGTATTAAATCTTGCAGAAGACATTTTAAATTTTCGCTCAAGTGGTTTTGACGTATAAGCTTCATGTCTTTGTCATTGTTGTAATAAAATTTCTAAGTCTAAGCTACCTTCTGATCCATATTGAAATTCTGAATCAACTATATTTAAAAACTATAAATAAAAATATACTATATAATAATTACATGTATGCGCCAAGAGAAAATCTGTCACCGGGTTTTCAATTATATTTTGTATTAGACACAATCCTAATAAAGTAGATAGATTGTGTTCGATACAAACAAAATATAATTGAAAGCCTGATGACAGGTTTTCTTTTGGCGGCACTTATAATATTCTTAATAACTTACTACTATCACCATTATATAAAATAGAATAATCTCCAAAAGGATGATTGATTATATTTAGTTGTAAACTTCCTTCCTGAAATGAATTATTTAATAAAATTTCTTCATCGTGCTCTTCTGTTGCTATATACTTCATTTTACAAGAAGCCTTATTTATTGCCGCAGAAATACCAATTTGTTACTTTCGTTACTTTGATCTTGCTTTTCATTATTTGTAAAGTTAATTATTTGATTATTTGAATGAGTCGAAACCTCTTCTTCATGAATACTAACAAATATTTGTGAATTAGGACTAAAAGAATCATCTATGGGCTGCATAATATTAAGAAATTTAGCAAGTTCGCAGGCTAGTCGATGTGAATGTTTGATTGTTTGAGAAATTTGTTCGTCAATTGGCCATAGTTTTAATATTTCTAATGTTGATTCGCTTAAATTTCCACAATTGTAATCAAAATGGTAACCTAATAAATAAATTTAATATTAAAAATAGTTGTAATTAATATATTATATAGATAAAAAAAATAATATTTACCTTGACAGATAGTTTTTTCTTTAGCAAAATTTAACTTTTCTGCCCTTAAAGCTTTATTATATTGTGATATTTTAGGAATCATTTGGGTTAAATCAAAAAAATCAAAATCTGAATTCAGTTGACGTGCAATGCCAAAAAAATGCTCAACTGGCTCAGATCCATGAAACTAAGGTAATAACGGCATTTATGGATAATATTCATGATGAGCTTTAACTAACAAAACAAGTGATTCACAAAGTGAAATAAAAATAGCAAATATTTGATTTGCTAAAAAATTTTGTTGCATTGAAATAAAATTGAAATATTTTTGAGAAAGAATTTCTATATAAGTGCACCATAATTGAAGAAAGAAATAACCCGTCATAATCATTCTAATTCGTTCAAGTGGTGCAATATCCCGATTTAGATAGCTATCAGTTATTTCACCTTTAACATATAAATAATTAACATTAATATAGTTTTACATTAAGAAATTAACAAGCATTAATGTTTACCTAATACAAAAAGATAAATTGCAAACCCTTCCATTCCAGTTCTAACTTGATAATTAGTTTTTAAACATTAGCAAAAATTTGACGAACAAAAAGTTCAGTAAGCTGCTGCATTATCTTGTCGGTCCAGTTTAATAACATCATTTTTAAACATTACAGAATTATGCTGATTAATAAGTTGTAAAAAATAATCATATCGAGCTGAAGAATTGCCAAAAGTCAATAAGCATGCTCCTGACATTACAGCATTTCGTGCTGTTTTTTTAGCATGTTTGGGATCTTGAACACGTATTACAAGACCAACATGATCGAAAATAGGACATAAAAAATTAATATTCAAATAAGGTTCTTTAACTATTAATTTTTCATTTGTTTGAGTCTTAGAAATTGATTGCTGTGCCTGAAATTCTGTTATAGCACCATCTGATCCTAAAGAAAGTATATGAAGATCAAGTTGTGGTGCAATATCGATAATTAATAGCTTATATAATTGTAATATTGAGTTTGCGGTATCTGTTCTATTATTTAGAATTAGAGCAATAACTATTAGAGGAAATGCGGGTAATGGTATCTTTTATATAAAATATATAAATTATATAGTAATAAATATATAAATATATTTATATATATTATTAATTCATAATTATTAATTATCTGTAAAAGATATGCACGAACGTTTTTTGCAATTCCATTTTCTTCTTTAATCTTATTGATTATTCTTGGAATATCATTATATATATTAACTTGTTTCCTCGTTTGATAATACTGATCCAACAATATATCTGAGATTAGGTGAATATCGTAATCCTAATTTAAGTTTTGTATTATCTGTCATTGCGGCAATAGGTCCATTATAATTAATTGTATCAGTAAGTCTCTTAAATCTAGCTACATTTTCATAGCATAATTCAGGATTAGTTAAGTAATCGTTATCATTTCTTCTCAATCGTCTATAAAAAATAAAATAGGCTATAAGTTAATAAATTTAAAAACTAAATAAATACAAACATATAGGCTTGGTGCTGCAAAAAGGGAGTAAATTGACAAATTTTTAAAAATTAATTTTTTTACATAAATTAATTTAGAATATTATCAAGATTATTTTTCACTTAAGATACAAAAGTAGTTGTATTAATAAAATTATTCAATATAACTCTTTAAAATTTGTAATTTCTTATAATTTATCATAAAATTTGTAATATAAAAATTGATTTTCTGAAGATCTTTTTTTTTTGTCAATTTACCCCCTTTTTGCAGCACCAAGCCCATATGTATTTAATTACCTAATTGATTGAATTGTTCGACCTTCTAAATTTTGGCAAAATAGATCTAATGCTCTTGAACTGATTCCACCCAATATAACTAAAAAACTGGTAAATTCTTCACTATATTTCAAATTCCGTTTAGATTTGTTTTTCATTTTTCTTTCAATGGCGTTACTCATAACTTCACAAAAACCAGTGAATATTGGTGTATCATTAAAAGCACCTTTTAGAGCTTTATCTGCAAGAATAACTTATGGATTTTCTAATTGCGCGTTAGATTCATTATTAAGTATATTCCAATATCACAGAGATCCTAATTTTGAAGGTGCTTCTTTAGAGGACTATCATCCCAAAAATGTTTTGGTATAAATTTAGTATTACCAGGTAATGGTAAAGGATGTGCGATTTTGTTACATAAATTTTTGTCATATCGGATAGAACCACATTCAATACATATATTTCCTTGTTCGGCAATTCCAGTACAAGTTTTTGCACGCACTGCATTACCTTTAATAAATTATTAACATTAAAAAGTATTGAGAACAAAATCAACAATTTAATAAATTACATACTTGATCGGTCAACTTGCCAAACAGATTCTGCAAAGAGCGCATGATTTAATTGTCTTTTTTGTTTAAAACTCAACTTTTTTCTACTAAATTTTTGTGAAAATAGATGAGGAAAAAGTTCATGTGCAACAACTTCAATATGATGACAACCACCAAATTGTGCAGGGGTTCGTTTGATATATTCTGATATTTCTACAGACTGAAGACCAGCACAAATCAACCATTTTTTAATTCTTTTGGTATTACTGAATCTTTCTTTAATATTAACAGCTTGAAATTCATTATCTGAATCATTTTCTATTTTATCAACCTGTATTAAATCATCGTCATCCATATTATCATAAATATCTAAGTCATATTCGTCTTCTTCCTCAATATATTCATTTTGTTTTACCAGTTGAAACCAATTATAAATTGTTCTTTGCCCTTCATTTGCTTTACATCCAGAACGTCGAACATGACGGTTAAGATAATCCTCCTCCCATTTTCTATTAAGTTTTATTGTTTTATCGTATATACATACTACTTTTTTGGGATGTATAATGCAAGCAACATATTTATGTTTTGAAAGCCTCTCAAAACTGTTTTTCCAACCTGACATATTTTAGATGTTTTAGAAAAGATCAGATTTTTTTTTTTTTAACACGTAACAGGTGAATTATAAAGTACGTACGTACGTACATGAATGTTTTATCAACTTATCCCTTGTTGTTGCTCATGTTACATTTCTTTTTTGAATTAAGCCAGAACTACGCATCTTCTAAAAAATTTTTACAATTTATATTTGATTTAATATATGGTAACTATATGTATAGGTTTGTTTATAAAACTATTATTTTTATTTTGTTGCTATTAGAATTCTCTATTAAACTACCAAAGTCTAATCAAAATTCTTAGTAAAATTGTTAAAACTAAGCTTATTTCCATGTATTTACATATTGTTAAATTTTCAAAAAGCATAAAATTCATAAAACCAACTATTTATTTTATTATAACCAGAATCTCTCTCCATTAATATAATAGTTTTATTTAAAGGTAGATGTTAGATGATTTACCAACGTTGATAAACTTTAAAAACATAATACATCTAGAATATCATAATGATGATATTACTTGTTATTAACCTGCATGAATATATCTGCTTTGAAAATTCTATACAAGTTTTCTAAAATATCCGGTAGTTTTTAATTAGTCTGTCAAGTAAATTTTGTTCTTAGAAAAGCTGTATAACAAATGAATACACGAGATTACGCATCTTCAAACTTTGTGTTATCGGTTATGATATACTGTACATATGGCACATTACACTGCTTTTCAAATTACTGTGATTAGCAGACGATTGTCTATCACACTAAGGATGTTAAAAGTTTGAACCAGTCCAACTCAACTCCAAAGAGTCGAGTTTTTATTAAAGTTCGGTCCCAAGTCAAACTTGGAACTCGACTCGCATTGAACGTATATATTGAACATTTAAATATAAGCTAAAAAAAAAAGGGTATTCATGCGTACTTTGCTGCATATACTTTGCATATGTGCATTTCTTTTCAGTACTAAATTAATATACAAGACGCATGTGCAATGTGAGTCGAGTTCCAAGTTTGACTTGGGACCGAACTTTAATAATAATTCAACTCCTTTGAGTCAAGTCAGACCAGACTGAACTTTTAACATCTCTAGTCACACAAAATCTGTAAAATTCCCTTAAATTTATCATTTTTTAAAAAATTTCCACTTACAACTGTTTTTAAAAAGGTGTGAACAATGATTCCCATATATCTATGTGGGAAATCAAAGGAAATTTTAATGAGTAAAAATTGATCATAGCTTGGATATTTCTGGAAATCTAGAAAGTTTTGTGAATTCCCTGTGATATGGTGATCTGCATTTGTTCACACCTTTTTGAACAGCTATAAAAAGCCTGAATTTCAAAGATCTCTTGTCAAATTCCGATTTTCTGGTGTATTATCCAGAAAACACTAAAATTTTTTATTTTTTTCTTACCTAAATTTTCAAACTTTATGCGAATTTATGTTGGTAGTGGCTGTTTATTTTCAATATTCGAAGCTATTTTCAAATTCTACAGACTAGTAGGATTCAAAATAGTCTTAAATATTGAAATTGACGGGCTATTATTGAGAAATCTTCAAACTTTTATGAATATTTAATATATAATATACACGATATATATGGTTAGTATAATTTTCAGTTAATCACAGACTTGCATTTTTTAATAGATTCTTGATTCCCATCATTACAAATTTATCAGAAAATGAAATAAAGTTAATATATTGCTTATTTTTGTCAAAATTAGATTTCTGCATATTAACTTTGAAACCCCTAATGCTAAAGAAATATACAGTATATTCATAAATTTTATTAAAATATAATCTGCTTATTATTACCAAATATATATTCAAAATACGCAAATTTGAACCTTATATGCGAAGTTTTAATATTTAAATATGCAATTTAAAAATCTAACTTTCTTAAATAATTTTTTAAAAAATACGCAAATCTAAATCTTACTTTATTTAATTTTCTATTAAAGCTACGCATTTCTTGACCTGACCTATATATATATATTGCGGGGTCCTGGATTTAGTATAAGGCAGAAATATAGAATATATCAAAATTTTACAGAGAATTTTTTTTATTAGAACTCTAAAGGTGGTTTCATAGTAAAAATTTTAATATAGCAGAAGGGGTGCAATATATTGCAGGTGCAATAAATTTTAAAACTCTTATTATATTTATGTAATATCTAAAATACTACAGCTATATTATTATATAATCATAACTTAAAAGGTATATTACCAATTACATGATATAGGTCAGATATCAGCTCCAACCTTATAGGATGGTATTAGCAAAAATAGGGATAGCAATAGCAGGTTCCTAAATTAATTAGCAAATTTATAACTCATCTTTATATCATTTATATTAAATAATTTATACCGATCTTTAGCCACATTAAAAGAACTAACTATACAGTTATACTTTTTGTAAATATACAATATTCTATTTACTGCTCTTTTGATTATAAACAATACTTAATTTGCTATATTTACTATTATAAAGATATACAACATGTAAGAGTATAGTGACTTAGTGAAGTTGGTAAGTTGTCACACCCTCAAATAGCAAAACAAGAGTTTGAATTTCACTAACAATGAAATTCGAATTTTACAGAATGTGTTATAGCAGACTGTATATAATCTAACAGGTTGATATCTGTAACTTTAATTATATCAGCTTATACTAAGAGGCTGTGGAATATTAGTATAATATTTGAGTTGCACAAAACCTGAGTGAAGCAGCTGGGTCAATTCAGAAATTGAGGTATATAAAAGGCCACTTGGCAAGTTTTAAGTAAAGAGGTAGTACAGATCTTTAACAATACTATGTAAAGGATTATCTAAGAAATTCAAATACTGATTTCAGTAATCTGAATGAGAACCAAGTGTTTGACAAGATATTATACTAACCAGGTTGTTGGATAAGTAACCAGATGAAAAGAATCTAACCATAGAGACTAGAAGCAGATCATAGCCTCTCTAGGCTATCTGGATGGGAATTTGAATTACTGACAGAACTTAGATATTGGTGATAGTCTGTATAGTAGGTACTGTGATTTGAATAAATTCTACAAGAGCAGAAGTAGGTCTTTGGCTTGCAAGTACTTGTCCTTGGACTTGTATAAGTTACTGAAATCTAGGTTTTTTTTTATTAATATTAAGGTGACCAATTGGAGTCTGACATGTTATTACTTTGGTTACAAATGCCAGGGCAGCCACAAAGCCACCTCTGACTTTGTTATATTAATAAAAGTATTACTACCCTAATTAACTTAGTGCTGTCAGAATATTCTCCCCAAAGAAGAACTGCTGCTAAGGCTCCTTAGAACTACTTTATCCTTATAGTAAACCTACTAAAGCGGTTTATGTCCCATACATGTATCACCTAGATTTTTCAGTAACTTACACCTAGACCGAGGCCAAGTACTTGCAAGCCAAAGCTACTACTATTACTTACTCCTTGCTTTTGCAAAGTTTATCCAAACTCAGTACACATTTTACAAACAATTACTATCATTTCTGGTTACCAACTGCACCCCAAACTCCCAATTCAGATGGTCTGGAAGAAACTAGTAGGTGTCTCCTGGTATTTCGATTGAATCCTTTTTCCTCATATATATATGGCCTGGTTGGTATTAGTGTTTGTTAAACATTTGGTCTTCGTCTGGTTTACTGCTGATATCTGATTGCTGATGACGATCCTTTACATAGTACCATTAAAAATCTGTGCTACCTCTTTATTCGGGACTTGACAAGTAGGCTTCTGTATGCCTCGATCTTCTAGATTTATATGGTGTATCACTCATTTTGTATGACTTATATATAGCACTACTGTTTTATAACCTCTCAGTACAAGCTGGTATAATCAAAGTTACAAATGCCAATCTATCAAATTATACACAGTTTATTATAATACATTTTTTAAATTCAAATTTTCGTCGCTAGTAGGATTCGAACTCTTAACCTACCACTTGGGAGTGCAACAACTTACTAATTATATTAAGTTGCTATATCCCTTATTGAAATTTAGATTAGTCAAATTGTGAATACAAAAAGCTTTAGCAATAATACTTCAAGGATAAATTAGTCTTAAGAGAATAGAGAAGTATCTGAAACTTTTTGACTAATAAATGTAATGAAAATGTACTGATGATACAAGTGGTTTGCATTACAGAGGATTTAAATAGATAATCCTCTAGTTGGATTATAAGTATAACAAATAGTGTAGTCTTTATAGTATAATATCAATACACAGACTACTTAAATAGACAACTAAAAAGTTGTATGTATGGCTAGTTGTACTCTAATATAATAGAAGGTTTCAAATTTTTTTTTTTTTTTAATGTTAAGGTGATCACTTTGGGATCTGGCATGTTTTATTAAACTTTAGATCAAATGTCAGAGCAACAACATGGGCTACCCCTAACTTTGTTACATTAACGAGGATACATACTAATCATATATACAACTTTTGGTTGTCTATTTAAGCAGTCTTGTATATGTAACCCATATAAACTACACTAGATGTCGTAGCTGTAACTCACTATTATTTGAGTTATCCAATTAAACCCTCTGATCAACTTAGCACTATTGGATATTCTTCCCAAAGAAGAACTGCTGCTAAGGCCCCTTAGAACTACTTTATCCTTGTAATAAACCTACTAGAGTGGTCTATATCCCATATATGTATCATCTAGATTTTTGGTAACTTATGCCTAAGCCGCAGCCAAGTACTTGTAGCTTTTTATCTCTGCTACTGTTACCTACTCTGTGCCTTTGCAAAGTTCATCTAAACTCCAGCACCCACTTTACAGACTATCAACAGTACTTCGATGCCAACCATCGGTACCCCAAACTTTCAATCCAGATGTCTCAGAAAGGACTAGTAGGCATCACCTGGTATTATGAATAAATCCTTTTTTGCTCTGGCTAGTCTGACAGCCTGGTTGGTATAATGCTTGCTAAACACTTAGTCTTTGTTTAGTTTGTCTTCAGTGTCCGGTTCCCCAGATGATAATCTTTTACA